AAAAATATATCTTACCTTCGCACATCTTTCCTCTAGTAGGTACTGACTACAAAACCCCAATGTAAAACGATTACTCAACTGATGCTATTGTTTCCTGTTATTCAACAAGCCGATGGGTTTTTAGTTCGTCATCTCGTCTCTACCAAAACATTTCTATGTGGCCCGCCCTTGTACTAGAAAAATAACCGCGCCTACGTGACCCGTCGCGCGTATTTAAAACATTTCTTCTCGAACTCGTTTGGAATTCAAAAGTTTTTTTTTCAGGTGTCTTGTTTCATATTATGTTTTTATAGCGTGAAGATTAATGTCTTTGCTTTAATTATGTTGTTATTTTTTTTTAGGAAACTACTAACACGTCAATCACACAATTGATTATGTATTTGGAGGTATATCAAATACATAATCAATTGTGTGATTGACGTGTTTGTAGTTTTTTTGTAAATATTTCCTTAATATTACTTAAATAAAGCTATAGAAAGAAATAAGCTTCGGTAATTAATAAAATTATCACTAAGTTCGTGTATCACGCAATGAGTATTGACCTTTTAATTAAAAATCCTGAATATTAAAGCCTAACATTAGTACGAGTTTCTCGCTTAATATAAGCCACGCCAAGTTAAATAAACCCGAATAAAATTTTATGAGGTGTAAAATATTATTTTCGACTCGTCTCGTTCAAACAATGGCTTTGTTAACTTTCGTGTGACTGAGAACAAGAAAACAACAATAGTGATACAGTCAGAAAAATATTCTGCACATTTAACGTCTTACACACACATGTTAGATTTATTTACTTTCCGTTTTCTTGACTGTAAAGTTAATTTTGTCAATTTTAGAACAACTAGACAAGTACGTTGGCCGCGCTGTGTGGGAAACTCGGAAAGTGAATGGACTCTACTCGCTGATTAATCAAGAGAAAATTTCAAATATGCAACACGATAGAGTCATTATATTAAACATTACTAGAGAATAATTGTTATAGAGAATTTTTCTAGTAATAACGTATCTAGAGTATTTCAAGATAGGTGTAATTTTTGATTCACTAGCTGTCGCCCGCGACTCCGTCCGCGTGGAATGAAAAAAAGCTTAATTCGTTCCCACCAATTATTCGAATTTTTCTCACCTTTTAAACCTTCCCTAGACGTCCACGAACATTTCAAAACCAAGATAAGATAAATTCGTTTTCGACTTTTGGCGAAACTAATTGACAGCAATAGATTTTTGCATATATATATTTGCAATGTTTCCCTCTCTTTCTCTTACTGCGTATCTTCTTTCTCTCTCATGTAACGAAATGTTAAACATCCACGAAATAATGTTATTGAGTAATTAGTTTATATTTAAATATCTATCTATCTATGTTTTATATCGTAAATCTTGTACCAGGAAAACATGAAACTTTTCCTTAAAAATTCTTTGACCAAACATTTACAACATCGGAGTCACGGTTATTGTCGGGTCATAGTTTGCATACGAAATTCTTTTCTCAACATTACTGCAGGTTGTTTACGGAAGTGTTGAGGATCTGCCGAATGCAGTGACCTCCAATTAGCCTCCAACACGTGTTAGTCATGCGATTAAGCCACTTCCACGTCTGTTGTATTTTTAAACCGGCCTCGTTCGTTTTTGATGCACTCGTTTCCACAATTTACATTCCACCCGGGAATGAAATTCATGCAACATATTGAATTTATGTATAGCTCCAAAAAAACAATAAAAGGTTTTTCTAGATAAATTTAGGTTTGATAAGTAGATTTAATATTGGTCAATAAAACGGCAATAAATAATCAACAGTTCAAAGGATATATTTATGTAGTTAAAGAGAACTCTCTCGTAGGTAACGGCATTTTATTGTCCGTTAGAAAAAAAAATTACAAAACATTTTTGTCATGTTTTTTTTTACGTTTTTGGTATTCGGTTTGAGTGAACATAAGTAAATAACATTTTTAATAGTAACATAAGTTAATTTTAACAATGGCAGAGCCCGTTTTAACATCTCCGCACAAATTGGCCCGGCTCGCCCGGTGAAATACCACGACCACACAGAAGACAGGCGACAAGTGGAAGCAATTCCTCGTTTCGTCTGATGAGTGTTCGTCCCGGCGGCCTAGTTTAGTCCTTTATCCCTTTCTACCCTTTTTCTTATAAGAAAAAGATGGGAAGTGGAAGTGGACTTTCCGGATGGGAGGATGCATGGAAAGGGATAATATTTTCTTTCTGTGCATCCTCTCCTCCGTCGATTAAAGGTAGGCAACGCATATGCAATTACGTATGTCTATGGGCAACGGTCACTTCGCTGTTTCAGCGGTTTCAGGTAGCCGCTCGCTTTTGCCACCTTATGATATAAAAAAAAGTAAATAAGTGTTACGGATCACATGGTGCATATGTCATGAAGTTTAGTTTCCAATATTAAAACATATCGCATTGTCTATTACCTTTGTATACAAATTTGTCTTACGACCAAAGACAAATGCGTCATACAATAAAGTTTCTGCACAATGCGCTTTAAATAAGATCTGTTTATTTAAGCCTCTTTAAATGCAATGTCTGATGAACTTGCATATTTTGCAAGGACAATAATAAAATCTTTAATCTAAAATTATATTGTTCCAAAGTAAAAGGAATTCAAACGATTGCAAACTTTGAAGTGTTTCATCTAAGGTAAAGTTTTAATGGAATTTCTCGTGATACCGATTCCCGATCAAATATTTTCAACGACGACGTTATATTTTCTACACTACCTTTCGCCTGCGGCTCTGTCGGCGCGAAATCAAGAAAAAAGTTAATAAGTAACCTATGTGTTTTTCTAGACTTTGTTCTCATGTTAAATTTCAGCGAGATCTTTTCCGGAGATACCTTCAAACAAACATCCATCCATCCAGCCGTTTAAACATTCGCATTTATCATATTAGTAAGATAGATCTATACTTTTTGTGAGATTAAATATTTTTAATACCGCTACGACTTAGGGTCCTTCAAGAAGCGATCGTATCACCATCTCAAAGGCCGGCAACGCATCTGCGGTTCCTCTGGTATTGCTGATGTCCATGGGCGTCGTTGAACACCTCGGTGTTCCCGCTGCTCGTTTGCCCCCTTCTGTTATAAAAAAAAGATGATGCAAACTTTATAGTGGACCTGTAGTTATCTACGCAATCAGAGATCAATGATACCAGAGATATATTGAAGGTTGCCGTGATTATAAAGTTGTTAACAGTTTTTTCATCAATTAAACCATAAGCTTTAATTTATTTTCTTTTACTCATTGATTAAGTATATGATTTTATCAACTTAGGGTGCCCATCACATTTAATAAAGGATGAACGACGTAACGATAGAAATAACATGACTTCTAAAATTGTGTTCGTAGTATTTCGAGCGTTTATAAAGTTTGTATAGTACTATACATTAGTGATTTTCTCTTAATCATGCTCCAGGATGTGTTGCAAGTGTGTGGTCTAATGTTATTCGATATAACTTGTGTATCGCCGCATACCGTACGTAATAAGGTTTTTCTTTAATCCATTCCTGACTAGCTGTACCCCGTGTATATAACCGCGATTTAAAAAAAACCAAGTAACCAATACGCAATTGGTGACTTTCTGAGTTACATGGTAACAAAGCTTTCTATGAGTAAAACGGAGAGATTTGTTTGTTTGTAGAGATGTGCAATCTTACTTAGAAAGGGCTTTACTTTCTATGTGAAGTTACATTCCGAACCATGCATGCTTTGAATGGAATAGTAATGAAAACTTTGAATAAATATAAATTTACTAGCTGTTGCCCTCGACTCCGTCCGCGTGGATATTTAAAAAAACTAAAAATTAAAAAAAAATTAATAAATAGTATCCTACGTCCGTCTCCTGGCTCTAAGCTACATCCTCACCAATTTTCAGGCATATCGGTAAAGCCGTTCTTGAGTTATAAATAGTGTAACTAACACGACTTTCTTTTATATATATAGATTTCGATAAAAGAGGATTATAAGAATAATTTAATATCATTATTTTATTAATTCAGGTTATTATTATAAAATAGAGTAAAATTGTTACGAATAAAAGTAAATTTAATTTTATTATTTAAATAAGGCTAGCAACAGAAAATAGAAATATTTCTAGTTATTTTATATTATAAGGTAATAAAATTCTTATCAATAAATATATTAAAATAATACTCGTCACCATAGAGACTGCATTTGTCACGTGTTTTATATGCGTCGTGAACAACCTTCATATCGTTTATGTAATGCAAACCACAACTTTATATTTTGTTACTAATGGAAAATAAAGGTTATCATTTGCCAGCACTTTTCTATCAGCAAACCATAATTTATCGCGGTCTGTTTTGATAACGTACTCTTGAATCTTCTTAAAGTTTCTCAGTGTTTGTTTTTGTTTATTGTTTTTATATTCTAATTTGTTCTCTGTATTTAATTTAAGTTATTTAGTATTCTAAAGTTCTTTAAACAAACCTGTTTGTGTATAAAATTGTAGCTAAACGGCTCGGCTACATGTTACGAAAAAACCCAACCGAACAATGAAACACATCGGAGCGCGCCGCTGTTTTTGCAAATCATTCAACTGCACAAGAGAATGCGAAGCCAATCAGTGCCGCGATAAAAACATGAATAGCCTTCGCGCCACAAAAATAAGCCGAAATTACCTAACCTCGACGAATCAGCCCGTGCGCCGGCCGCCTGCAGATAATTGCAATCGAACAAAACATTGGCGCGGCGTAGAACAAGTTCTGGTTGGGGTACTTTCTGGCGTTATAAATGTGCGGGTGAATCGCTTGGGGTTTTTTGCGAGCGCATGAGGCGCTGCGAGTACGCACGCGCGTGCTTACGTTGCACAATTCAAGGCGGCTCGCCGTGCTTGCTCGGTAGAGACGCGCGGTTCAGACGCCGCCGGCGCCCCCGACCCCTGCCCCGCACCACGACGCGTCGCCGCCGGCCCCCCGTGCCTCTCTCCGCACCACACCGCCGCCTCCAGTTGCCTCGCAGCTGCCGCGCGCGTCCGTCGCATATTCAATGCGACACAGCCGCTTCTCTAACATAATATGGATATACATCACACCCGCGCTCTCGTCATCGTTCAGTTTACGTATTTGTGGTTTTGCGAAGTCTTTGACAAGTATAAATGGATTATATTGTAAAGTGATTCTGGAAACTATAACATTTATAAGGTCCGCATTGGAATTTCTAGTATGGCTAAGCGCGGCGCACCGACGTGTTCGGCACATGGCACTGTAATAATATGCTGCTATAGGATATTACGTCACATAATAGAACCATCTGTGCTATAAGTAAAGCGAGAGTGCATTTTTTTACTAGTTCTCAAGAAATATTTAAGTTTGCGACGAGTTTGGTGCAGTGGGCATTTGTGCCGCGGCATGGCGTACTCGTGGCGTCCACGTTACGTTATGGCGGGCTTTCCGCTGCGTCGTCGGTCGTCGCAGCGTTCAATTACATTTCACATTGCCATTGCCATTTAACTGTTCCAATATGTTTATAACATTATGTCCTTTACGACAATAGCTTCTCTCGACTCATTCTTCTGGAACAATTTAGAATCAAATACTTAATGAAAACAATTTGACTCACATCGTATTTCATTGAAGTTTTAACTTATAGTTATTTATATTTGTCTTAATTATTCAATACGTAAACGCTTTGTTCAAAGTACGATTTCGTTCGAGGTCGCTCACTGACTCTAACAAAACATTGGCTAATCATTCGGACATGTTCAATGAATATTTTTTCTTATAAATTCCAGTAAGAATTCCTGCTAAATTAAATGACTTACCGCTAATAAAATATCTTCAAGTGATATAGAAACCTTTCAATAGCATGGAAAGGTTTAGGGTAAACAAAATATATTCGCGTCAAAATGCAATTTGTAGAGGTTATAGAAACCTTACATTCGTATTGGCACGAAGGGCTCCGCAGGCGTGGTTGCATTACATACATTCTCATTCCTAACTTCCTGGTACTTACTTATCAGAAAGTTGTCGGATATAACAGGTTTTGCCGATAACCTTTTTAATAATTAATCTTGTTTAGGTTAAGAATAACTATAATATAGCCAATTAAAAAACATCAATAAACAACTTGTAGAGATCAAAAAAAACTAAAGCTAAGAAACAGAGATAATTTCAAAAACAAACAAATATCCACGTGACCTTTAGATCCTTATCGTTCAATAAAAAAAAAACATGGCGACGTAATGTTTACATTAAGATAACTTGAAGAATTCCAAATTCTTCCGATTGCATTTATTGTTGTATTGAATTAACTACTTAACATCTAGAATTACTTTTACAAGTTAACTGGCACACAAACTTAGATAATGGTTACTAAGTAGCTGATTTACTTGCCGTTGCTTTCAGGAGACAAAATCTCTATAAATCATATCGTCATTAGTTCTTTTGGTTTAAGAAACCGACGGTCAGTGTAGTGGTCAGTGGTAGGTGGCAGTTTTTTGGAGCCCTTCACCCCCTTTCGAGCCTCGTTTGTGTTTAATGGACGATCTACAAATAGTTAAGTACGGTTAACTCGGACAAAATCCCTAAGTAGTAAAGATTTTTTGCGACTTAACGCTCCCGGTTTTCTAACAGGATTTTGTCGGTGTCGCATTAAGCAAAAGTTATGCAACGGGAGTTCGCCACGTGGCAGAATCCTGTGCTCTGCGCATGCCTGTAGGTATACCTATGTATTGTATGGATTTACTACGTACGTACATTTCTATGAGAAAGTGCGCAATTTTAAAATTACGACGAAATGAATGTTAATCAAAAGAAGGGTTGGCCTTGAGTTCCTTTTTCATTTTTTTTTAATAAAATTATGGCTGTTTGTAAATAGGTTTTAATATTGATTAACTGTTGATTTTTGACACCAAAATTTCTGTATAAGACATATCGTCATTTTTGACAAAACAGTTAACGATATGTTTAGAACAAGGATTTTGGTTTCAGAAATTAAAGGTTGTTACGTAAATATCACTTAGATATAACTCTATAGATTATCGTTAATGATACTCCATATTTATAATTGGTTGAGTAAAGTCGTACGTTTAGTATTTTAAGGTTATGTTAGGTGCGGCACAGGCCACGTGGCGGCGGCCTCCAATGCGCAGGTCTACGAGGCACAGCTGAGTCTAAGAAAATCATTACTTGTACCAACTCAAATACGACTCTACCACGTGCTACGTCTGGCAAATTACGTAGAGTTTCATTTCAATTGTTGTTCCTGGATATTTTCTGTAAAACACTTTTCCTCAATATGGTTTTTAATATATACGACGCTCTTATGGTGAAAAAAAATTCGTGCTGCCAACACATCTGCGAAGAAATTCTAAGATATGTTTAAAGTCAACCGGTATTAGGCCAGCGTGATTGTCTATGGCCTAGTGACACTTTGGGTAGGCTCCAAATATAATATCGTAGTGCACGCCTTGTTTTGAATTTGTTGGTCCGTTGCATAATTTAAAAATTTAATTGGAACGAGATAAAGAATCGCATATCTTGTTATGTTTGTTTTCACTTTACCTATAAAGATAATATCACTTTCTAGATATGATTAATATAATTACTAATATTATAAATGTTTAGATGGATGTTTGTAGAAGGTATCTCCGGAACGGCTGAACGGATTTTAACGAAATTTGACACAGTTGTTGAATGTAGTATGGAAGAACATATAGGCTACTTATTCATTATTTTTATTCCGCGCGGACGGTGTCGCGGGCGACAGCTAGTTTAATAAAAAATCTATTTATAGTTTCATTTATTATTATCACTGTGTGTATGTACTTGGCAATAGTGTCCGGTGCACCTTTCGCGTGATACACCGGTTGACTTGGCGGCATTTGAGGTATATCCTTGCCAAGTTTACTTTCACTAGCAAAAATCCTTAATTAAATTAATATCTTGTACGTGTAATAAAGCAATTGATTGAAAATAAAGTTATAAAAAACATACTAAAACAAAAAAAACTCTTAAACAAAATGCACTAAAAAGTAACAAAATAATGTTATGAACAAACACCCACGAAAGAAATAAATTTCTCTTCTTTCTTGAAATGTGTCTACACTTTACAATAATTGTTATTTCGGTGTCTGCCTGATGTCTTAGACCTTTTTACGTTTAAGGTAGACCTAGACCAAAACCTCCTTTTTGAAGTCGGCTTAAAATACAACTCAAACGCATATGTAATTTTTCATAATTAAATTTGGACAAAAATTAACCAAAACGTCGTTTGTTTACAAAAATATTTAAAAGATTTTTAAAAGTTTGTAAAAAGGAAGACGGTAAAAATAATATGCCATTTTATAACTCAGTCACAAGAATACCTAGGAAACGTTAAACTATTATTAAATGCTAGATTTGATCATAAAATTATTACGTAGGATTTAATTATGTGAAAATAAATAAATGAAATAATAGCTAGTAGACTTCCGTTGAAATGTCGAGACATTTCCGCGGCATAAATACTAAATTACTTAATTTGAATTTTATTTTAATACTAGTAAAATAAGTATTTTATTCATCTCCAGTCAGTTTACAATAAATCTACACTCAGCGTATCCCTAAGTGACTATAAAACCACTCTTAAATATATTCCAGACGTTAAATTATGTCTTGATAAAAAAAAAGTCTTGCCAATTTATTTGACCGTGCGAGGTCGACTCTGTAAAATGGCACAACTATTTTTGGATTCATAAAATTATTTATTCATTGGAATACGCAAGCGTCTAAATATAATATTTTTAATTGAAATAAACTAAAACTTTTTAGTATTAAAAAGCAAACTGAAATAAAAAAACTTATCCTATAAATTGGGACTTTATTATTAAGTTAAATAGTTTTTAATTTGTAAAAAATTAGCTATGGTAAGTTTCAAATGAGCATTGCATCGAGTGTACTAGGAATGCATGCATGTGTGAAGGTCATGGTCGTCGTATGGCGCCCGGCGCTCACATGACTACGACCGCTATGGCGATGTGGTGCCGCGCCATTGGCTGGCTTTCACGACGCCGAGCTGCCGCCACGCCGCCACGCCGCCAACACAAACATTACCTATACACTCGTACTAGCTGCATCGAATGCAACTCTCCATGCTTATTCAATTTTATGATACCCTTATGTGTTACATCGTATTTGTTCTCTTGTAACATTTTCCTTGTTTTGTAACATTTGCATGAGCTTATGTTACATTTCATGTCGCGAATGTTGTTACATTTGGAGTTAATGTGCTTTCAGTAAAGGCGGATCACATTGGCTTGTTAGTTAGTTGACCTTGTCCCACAAGCACTGGTCCAATCACTTTATCTTATATTCCCAACTTACTCTCGTATCAGAAGTGGTGTACACGTTTAGAAGATTTCTGCTTAATTTCCATTATAAAAATGAGGGCAAAAACGGAACACCTCGTGAGGCAGATAGAAAATATTCTGTTCGTTTGAAATTATATCAAAATAATTTAACTAAAGTTACAAATCAGTATTTCGCTGCAAATGTTTAAAGATTTTCATGCTACTGACGATCCGTATAAAAAGGTAGAACATTTGAACTATTTCCAGTGTTCCTTTTATGTTGAAGATCTCCAAGAGTTAAAGAATTCTAAAACTGTTTAGTACTCTTCCAATAATAAGACAAAGCGAGTACAAAATATTTTTAATGTTAAGCAGTCATCTCATCGTCCCAATTCCAAAGATTCATCTTTAATAAAAAGCGCATTATCATAAATTGAATATAATTACGTCCAATGGCTCGTTTATGGTCACGCAAATAGTTATAAATCATGTCATTGCCTTTAACATCGCTGATTGTCGGAGAATGTTAATTGTTTAAGGACAAAGGGATTCTTTAGATGACGTCATTCTTTTGGATCCTTTACTAATTTGAATCACATTTTTATTATCCCCGAATTTAGTTGTGTGATCTGTTTAGGTTATGTAGTTTTACAACTCTTGTGAGTCATTGTCGTTACTGTGATTCTGTCATCAAAGAGAACACATGTGTAGAAGGACACGGGAAATATCTTTCTGTGCGTCCCTTTGTTGATTAGCGGTGGGCGACGCATCTTTAATATCGGATGACTATGGGCAGCGATCGTTTCCCCACTGCGATAAATTCAGGTGTCCTCTTGCTAATTCGCTTTATAAGTTTAGCGACTTCTGCCGTGATTTGTAAAAAAAAAACTTA